ATAGGGGCTGGGGGGATTGCGGGTAGGTAGGCCGGTATTGGGTTGGGGTGGGTGGTGCAGGTGGGTAGTAGGAGTAGGGTAGTGGGTTCGGGTATTGGGTAATATGGGCCTGGTCTGGGTAAGGGTTTGGGCTGTGGGTGGGCCGTGGGCCTAAAAAGCCGGGTGAAGGGGTAGTGAACTGCCAAGGGTTTGGGCCGATGTGTTGTTGCTGATTTGGGCCACGTCCACGTCCACGTCCGCGCCCACGATATCCTTCATTGCTGCCCCTGTTCCAGAGCCGCCTCCCGACTGCCGCGGCTGTCCTCCGCCGGCTGTGTGGTTGCCGCTGCCACCGCTGGTGCTAATGAGGGCAGTTGACGGGCCAGCGTTGGGGAAGACGTCGGCTTGTTGCTGTTCCACCAGGAAGAGCGCCGACCGAACCTCCAGGAATGTCGGGAATGGATTTTGATACTGCAAAAAGTGCACTTGGCTTCGGATGTCATGGGGCAAGCCTTGAAGAACCTGTAAAACAAGAGCATTGATGGACCAATTTCCTTTGACGGTCGTTCGGAAGCAGTGCTCCAACTGCATCGCCCGAGCATGTTTGTTATCATGAAAGAGTTTGTAGATCGCCTTCCATAAGGCATATGTGGAGGGACTGTTGGCAAGGACGAGATCTGAGACTTCATCCGAGACCGTGGATAGGATCCATCCTTGAAGAAGGGAATCAAATTGATACCATTCGATGTCGTCGGCGGAAGATGCGACGGTGGTACCGTCAAGAAATCCCATGAGATTGAAGCGGAGGACAAGGAGACGAAAGAGTCGGCTCCACTTCTTGTAGTTGGGTTCGGAGATGCTGAGTTGAACCGGAATATGGAGTTTGATGTAGTAGATTGTTGTGAAGGCAAGGTGGGGAGATTTGGAGGAGTTGTTATTATCGGAGGAGACGGAAGAAACTTCGGCCATGGTGGTTGCCGGTGGCGAAGGAAACTGCCGAGAGGGGGAGGAGAGAAAGCCGAGAGAGAGAGAGGCACGGCTAAGAGAGGTAGCCAAAAGAGAGAGAGAGTTAGGGTTTGAGAGGGGAGCTGTGATTGATTAGAGCTCCGATACCATGAAGAATGATTAATTTCCAATGATCAAAAGAGGGAGATTACATGTGTATATATACAAGAGGGTTTCCCAGTTAGGGTAGGAAACATAGTAATAGTAAGCTATACAATTAAGGTAACTACAATAATTACAATATTAAAAATAGTAACAATATATTTAACAGAAATGTAGAATTTCATTAGTAGAAATCTGCAATTCATATAAATGTTCTTTGGATCTTAAATTTTCTTTTGCTGAACAATGTGGTTTCTGTTTAGAGAATCTTCTATTTTAAGTATTTTGTTTTTGGGATTTGGAGTAGACTTTTGCAAATATATATATATATATATATATATATATATATATATATATATATATATATATATATATATATATATATACAGATATATATATATATATACACACACACACACGCCTCTTTAGAGAGAAGGAGGAGCGGCGGTTGTAGGAATGTTAGTCACCGCCGGCCATCCAATTCTTACATCAATACACCTAATCTTCGGAAAATCTGCTGCAATCGGGCAAGATATACCAGACGCTATGCTCGAAGCGACGGATTTCAAAGGAAACGCAACTTTCCAAAGTCCTCCTTTCTTCAACGACTGCCTAGATGGCCTTTCAAAGACCCCCTCTCTAAGGATAAACATGACCAATATGTCTACAATGAATCTAGATTATGCCTCAACAGATTCGAAGATTGTTCAACAACAACAAGCCGAAACATCATATTCAAATTCCAGACACATAATAAGGTATTTGAGCTCTTTTATTCCTTCTACAATCACAACTTTTGCATTTCTAATTTTGGAGCTAGAAGATATCACATTTGGTTTGATTTGGACACTGTTAATTGGATCCTGGGTTCTCTGCCATTTTTCTCGAAGCTCAACTGCGGGGCAGTGTCCAAGTTAGAGGACAATAGAACCATTAACCTTTCCATTGGTTCCAATAGAAGGGGTAAATTTGTGAAAATCCAAGAGATTAGAAGAGAAGGCAGTACATTCATAATTATCCCCTTTGATTCAATAGTTGATGGCCCTAAACTTTTCACAAAGGCCCTCTCTGTTTTCACCAAGAGAGCTACCAATCTTGAGGTAAGCCCAAAGGTGTCTGTATCTGAGAAACCCCAGGAATCCCTGCGACATTCTCCCAATGGAACTGACTTCTCATCCCTGCCTACAGAAACAGGGCAGGATTTAATTGCCCAACAAAGTGTTGATGTCACAAGGTCAGAGGGATTTGATGGAGATCCCACCTCTACCGAAGCTAACAACCAACTCGTTATTTACCAGACTAAAGCAGCTCCATTTTACAACCTCCCCACCAGTCAAGCCGAAGAGTTTCCACCCCTACCACGTAAAATCCTTAGTCCTACTGCTCCCGCCTTTGTGCCTGCTATTTACTCTTATGCTGCTCTCTTCACTGAGGAACAAGGAACTGTAGTAATAGCAGAGTCGGAAGAAGACCCATTTTCAAATATCAATGGCCAAAGTTTGATACTTTCCCTCAACGCAGTGGAAGATCATGCTAAGGACAGGGATGGACCCATTCTCTATACCCACTCCGATGGGGAGGAATTTGTGTTCATAGATACAAAACTCAGGCCTTTACAAATTGACCTCTCAAGATGCTCTAAACACCCCCTCCATCTCCGTAAAGAACTAAAGGGAAGAAGGACGTACTCACCGTCACAAATTGTTACGAGGAGTAAGGCTAAAGTCCTTGAGCAAGGAAGGAAAATTAATCCTATCGGCTGGGTCGAAGAAGAAGACTCGTTAGATCCCCAGGAATCCCATGAAGATGAGGTTATCAAATTCTTCAAACTTTGTTGTCCTCACAAGGCAGAAGATCCTAAACCCCATAGCAAACCTCTAACCAAAACTCAAAAAAAGAAAATGAAGAAGAAAAAGAAGCAGTCTCAATTTTCAGACTATGGGTTGGAGGAAGAGATAGAATATGCTTATTGATTGTAATGTTGTTTAAGTTTATCTCTACCTACTGTTTGTTTCTTTAGCTCATTTCTTTTAGCTACTGTAATGGTTCCAATGTCAATGATTTGGAGTTGGAGCATATCTTCTTTAGAGAACTGGTTTTTTCAATTCTCAACACTGCCTTTCACACTGTATATGGCTGGCCTCTCTGGTGTGCTCAAACAGCTGTGTTAGGAAGTCCCTTCAGTTTGGACGGAGGTACAAGGTACCAGGACAGAGCTGGGACATAATGCACATGATGATGGAAGATGCTTTGAGGAACATGGACCTGCATTGGAATGACTTTGCTGGTGTTTACTCCTGATGGTCCATATAGTCTCATCCTTTTGGCCTTTCACCTTTTGTCCTTTTATGAATGTTTTTTCTCTTATTCTTTCAGCCTTTGTGTTGGGGCTGGCCACCTCTCTGTACCTGTATTTTCTTTCCTCTTTTTAATAATATTTTTACTTTTCATATATATATATATATATATATATATAATGATTGACTCCAGTGAGATGACACCTTATGGTAAGATGACATGCTTCAATGAGATGACACAACACACAACACTGCCAATGAAAAGCTCACCAACTGCCAATGCAAAGCTCACCAACTACCAATGCAAAGCTCACCAACTGTCAATGCAAAGCTCACCACTATTTTTAAATAAAAAAAGTTAAAAAATAACACCACCACTCAGCCACCACTCAACCACCGCTCAACCACCGGTCCACGGCAACAGTGGGAGTCATCGGTGGTGGACATTGGTCATGGGCGGTCAAAGTGTAAAGCTCACCAACTATCAATGCAAATCTCACCAACTGTCAATGGAAAGCTCACCAAGGAACAATGCAAAGCTCACCACTTTTTTTTAAAAAAAAAAAGCTAATAAAGCAAAGCTCATCACACAACACTACAAAGCTCACCAATGGACAATGCAAAGCTCACCTGGAAATAAAGCAAAGCTCACCCCTTTGAACCCCAAAACTCACCTTTTTTTAAATTTTAAAAATTAAAAAATTAATTAAAAATAAAATAACAACACCGGTCAACCACCGGTCAAGGGCGGCGGAGCAGCAGTGGCGGCCGGAGCCCGACGGCGGCGGCCGGAGTCCGGCGACAGCGACCGGATTCCGGCGACCGGCGGCGGCGGCGGACGGCGACGGCGGTGACCGGATTCCGACGACCGACGACCGGCGGCGGCTGGCGACAGCGGCGGCGGCGGCCGGTCAACAGTCAAAGTCCAGTCAGCACCCTTTGATTTTTTTTTTTGGAAAAAAATTCAAAGTGTTGAAAAAATATGGTGAGCTTTGCCTTACACTTTGGTGAGCTTTGTAGTTGTCTTTGGTGAGCTTTGCAGTGACCAGTGGTGAGCTTTGTGTCATCTGACCGAAGCATGTCATCTCACTGGAGTCAATCCCATATATATATATATATATATATATATATATATATATATATATATATATATAGGGATTGACTCCAGTCAGATGACAAGTTTCGGTAAGATGACACTTTCGGTCAGATGACAGCGTATGGTTCATTCTGGATCAACGTAGTGCTCATTCGAACCCAATGTAAGGTTCATTCTCACACAACTGTTCATCACAACGTACTGTTCATTTCAGAAAAAACATAGTCTTCATTCCAAGTGAGGCAATCGAGAACATAGGGTTCATTTTGAATAACATGATGTTCATTCTCAAACAATGTAGAATTCATTCTCACACATTTGCTCATTATAGACTTAGTGCTCATTCTTAAATAACATAGTACTCATTCCTAGTTTTCTTAGCAAAGTGTTCATTCTAAAACAACATAGTTCTCATTCTCAAACAAGCTAGTGCTCATTCTGAAGCATGTCATCTGACTGAAAGTGTCATCTGACTGAAACATGTCATCTGACTGGAGTCAAACCCATATATATATATATATATATATATATATATATATATATATATATATATATATATATATATTATAATAATGGTGATAAAAACTTGCAAAATTATGATTTGTATGAAGATAGAATCACTCGAATCAGGGTGAAGCTTCAAAACAGATGAAACAAAGTTGCGTTCAAAGATAGAATGCGATTTAATTTGGGCCGGAGGGAGCAGTATATAGATAGATTTTCCCCTATACACAAAATACACTGTAGTATTTATCCAACAACATTGAGCATTAATGAAGATTAATTAACCTCCCATTAAGTACCCACATGCAAGTAAATATTACACTCCATCTATATTCTCATGTAATGTGACTCCATCTTGATTGTTGTATCTATTTTCTCATGTAGAAATATGAAGCAAAAAAAACCCTACTCTTATTCTACTAGTTCTTGATCTGTTTCATCTTCGCTATCATCATTGTCACCATTAGACCTGGCAATCGGGTCAATCGGTTCGGGTCTGGGTCGGGTCTTTTCGGTTCGGGTCTCTTTCGGATATATGTTATAATCGGTTCGGGTCGGTTCGAGTCGGGTCAGTTCGGTTCCGGGTTTATTTCGGTTTGACTGGTTTTTGGTTTTGGTTCGGTTTCGGTTCGGGTTTATATCGGTTCGGGTCTGTATCGGTTCGGGTTAGTATCGGTTCGGGTTTGTATCGGTTCGGGTTTGTATCGGTTCGGGTCTGTATCGGTTCGGGTTTGTATCGGTTCGGGTGTGTATCGGTTCGGGTTTGTATCGGAGTACAAAATAAAAGATTTGTACATGAAAGTAGTTACATGGTTTGCACTCATAATTTAAATATGTTTTTTAGAAACATATCAACATATGTAAAAATATATAGGTAATTCTTTTTTTCCAAATTCATTTGATAAATGAAATATTAATGAATTTGATCAATTTCGGGTCTAATCGGTTTCGGGTCTAATCGGTTCCGGGTCTAATCGGTTCCGGGTTTAACCGGGTT